TTGTCTTCATTCTATTTGCTGTCGCACAGTATTTTCAATCGCGAAAATAAATTTATTAAAATTTATTAAATTTATTAATTACTTATAATTTAACAAACAAGTTTCAATTGAAATATTTGTAAAATATAAGTATGGTAGTATTTTTGTGTACGAAATTTTATATTTTGATCTTTATATAATTAATATATGGATTTTTAAATTTATGGATCCTATACTGATGTTTTTAATTAATCTATTTTTTTCAAATATATTATATATATTGTAATATATAATATAATATAAATGTAAATATAAAATGTAGTTATATTTGTTTCTATATTTTATATGATTTTCTTTTGCATGATATTTTTTATATGGTAAATATTCACCATAAAAAAAAACTATATGCAACTTTCTTATAAGTAATATTGCATTCAAGAATCGTATTATTCTTTTTAAAATAAATGTGTATCTGATTAATTTTAATATAAAAGTATAATTTGAAATAATTATATAAATCATCCTCTATATTTAAAAAATATACTGAATATGTAATATAAATTTAATTTCTAAAAATTAGATTAGAACTAAATTACAACTATTTTTCCAATCTTCCAAGAAAAATTAAATGAAACAGCTATTTATGCCAAACAAAAAAATTTATTTATTTAATTCTATCTAGAAATTGAAGAATTCCTTCATCATACTATTATTGCATATGTACTAGCTATCATGAACATTTTTATATAGAATTAATAAAATTTATATAGAATTATATGATATAATACAAAAAAAATTATTTGCGAATAATTTTAAAATTAAAGCCAATTATATATAAGAAAAAAATTATTCAAAATTATTTTAAACAATTATTCAACTTCATAAGCAAATATATTTTTTACTGTATCTTATATAGATACATGTACAGAGTGTTAATGTATTCCTTTATAAGAGTCAATTCTAGAAACCAAAGTAAACAAATTAAAAATTATTATAAAAGAATGTCGGTTTATTAAAGTTTATTTATTAAGTTAATCAATTTAAATTTACAAAGTTTAAATGAAATGAGATAAAAAGAGAATGAGCTTTGTTTCCATTAAACTATTACAGTCTATTCCCATCTTATTTCATTTAATGTAAAATTTATGTTAAACTTAAATTCATAATTTAATAAATAAATCTTAATCAATATTTATTGACATTTATTAATACATATATATCAACTTTTGCATTTGTTTTCTTTTGTTATTTTGAGTTTTAAAATTGATCTTCTATAATATAGATATTTCATAAATTTATTAATACTCTATATGTATATATATATATAATATAACGATCCCAAATAATTTTTAAATTATTTTTTATACCAAAAAAAGTATTTCAAACAAAAATTTGAAAAAGGACATACATTATTCTAATCGTTTTGCTTTATTTTTTTTTATTAAGATATGAAAATCATATTGAGTTTTTTAAATGAAATGCGCAATTCTTCTTAAATTTAAATTCTTCTTAAATTTGAATAAAGCATCAAACTTAGTATAAAAAAATATTTATAATGTATGATTTAAAATTCATTTATTGAGATATTTTTAAAATAAGTTTTATTTCAAGAGATATTTAAATTATTATTTATTATAATTAATGCAGTTATTTATTTGAATTATGAAAAATTTTTTCAAGCGTTTCTGCAGATATTGCGAATATGTTCTAATAATATTGTTCTTGAATCTTCGAGTGTCACAGATAATTAACAATAAATTTCAAATTCATTTTTTAATGTTCTCTAAAGGATATATATATTATATCGATAGTGTTATATAATATATATAATCGATATATATATATATATATCGATATATCGAACAGTATTAAATTTGGCATGTTAACTATCTAATATTATTACTATATCCGATCCAGCGATTTAAAAACATTTTTACTATTTGTAATTGCCGAGCATTATAAGACAACAGTTGTAATTTTTTTAAATGTATTTGAGATTGTACTAAACCTTGTAATATAATTTTTTGATAAAAAAATAAAAGTGAAATATATTTAACTCGTTAACGATCCATTAATGAAGTATGATTCAGTGATTTATTAATCAATTATGTCACATCAAACTTAATTGATATTGGTAATCGATATAATAAAACCAGTGAGAATTCTTTTTTATCCATTTCTAATATATAATTTTTAAATTTACTTTTTCTTACAGTTTATTTTTAGATTTACTTTTATTTATAATTTATAAATATTACTTCATCAATTTATAGAAATATACCATTTGTATTTTGAATTTGTTGAAAAACTATTCATAAAATTATATGATTCTTAAAATTTTTTATATTTTTATTCATAAAATTTGTAAAAATGAAAAAAACATATCACTACCATATTCTTCACTATACATATTATATGAGATGTACTAATATATGGATTATGAATAACAGATGCTAAAATAAGAATAGATAAATATTCTTTATTTTTTATCATTTGATTGCATCCATATTTTTATATATTAAAGGAATAATATTCTTTTATTATTTTATATTTTATAATTTTAAAAAAGTAAAAAATGATGATGGCTTTAAGTATTTAATTTGATATATCTTAACTCTTGAAATATTTTTTATAAACTATATTGCACTATAAATTATTATTATATAATATTTTTCATTATTATTATAATAAAATAATAATAGACATTTCCACAATTTCATTTTCATTAAATTTTTATATAATTGAATTTATAATATACTTATAAATACTGAAATATGTCATGATAACGATGCTTATCATATAATAAAAATAGTATTTATAAACACAATGTTATATTATATTATAAATCGTGTAATGATGCATAGTTTCTAATATAATATTAGTAATTTAAGAATATTTCAGTCACTATTAATTTTATCATAATATTTTTTTACATTAAATTTGGTGTTGTATTCAAATTAAAAAAAATATTAAGAACTCTATTTAAAAAATTAAAAATAACTTTTATCTTAATAAAAAAAAAACAAGAAAATAAATAAATATTAGAATAATATAAAAAACCATATTTATACATTTTTTTGTATAACAAATAATTTAAAAATTATTTAAAATCATTACATTACGAAATTTATCCTATACAGTATTGTTTTATAATAAATAACAATCATCTGGATCAAAATAAATATTATCCCTACTTTTTTTGTAAAATAAGAAAAACAAGTATCTGTGAAAATAAGAAACAATAAATTTTTTTATTCATTAGGAATCATTTAGTGATAGAATATATACATATTAAATAACATATCTAAAATATCATTCTCTTCTTTCTATTCTTCTATTATTCTATCATTCTATTCTTTTAAAAGAAATTACTTACTTAGTCATTATATATAACTATCTCAAACTTCTTGCTTTTTATTTTGCTTTCTTTTTCGTCTCACTCAAGAATATGCTCATTTCTATATATAATACTATGTATAATAATTTAAATTTGCAACATGAAGCGAAGTGTATTGAGTATTTCTGAAAATATTAGAAATAAAAAAAAATGTTTCAAATGAAAATTGTATAATCAAAGGAAACATTTAATTGTTTGACCTTGAATTAATAGTGCAGTAAAAGCTCTA